GTTTAAAAGACATATTGACAGCCTTATGGAACTTAAAGTCATAAGGCCAAGTAAAAGTAGGCATCGTACTATGGTCATTATTGTAAACTCAGGTAAGTTAATTGATCCCAAAACTGGTAAAGAAATACGAGCTGGTAAAGAAATACGATGAAAGGAGAGACTCATATTTAATTATAGATCCTTGAATGACAACACGCACAAGGATCAGTATTCATTACCTGACATATATACTTTGTTGAAAAGAATCAGTGAAGCCAAATATATTCAAAATTTGATCTAAAAAGCGGCTTCCATCAGGTAGCGATGCATCCAGAGTCCATTGAATGGACTGCATTTGTTGCTCCCACTGGGCTTTATGAATGGTTTGTTATGTCATTCGGGCTAAAGAATGCGCCCGCAATTTTTCAAGGAAAAATGGATTTTTGTTTCAAGGATTGTACATAATTCTTAGCTGTATATATTAATGATATAATTATTTTTAATAAATGTGAAACAGATCATATGAAACACTTGGAGAAATTTCTTGCTATTGTTGAAGCTGAATGATTGGTTCTCTCTCCCACGAAGATGAAAATAGCGGTATCTGAAATTGAATTCCTCATAGCAATTATCGGAAAAAGAAAAATCAAGCTACAACCTCACATAATAAGAAAGATTGCAGATCTTTTGGACGAAAAATTAAAGGAGAAACATGGCATGCGTTCTTGGTTAGGAATTTTAAATTACACAAGAAATTATATTCCTAATCTTAGTACTTTATTAGGTCCGTTTTATCAGAAAACTTCTCCTCGTGGAGATAAAAGATTAAAAGACCACGACTCAAAGCTCATCAGGAAGATAAAAAATCCTGTTCAAAAGTTGTCTGATTTAAAAATTCCTTCCTCAAATGCATATATAATTCTTGAAACAGATGGATGCATGGAAGGATGGGGAGAGATATGCAAATGAAAATTGACTAAAAATGATCCAAAATCTTCTGAAAGGATTTGTGCATACGCTAGCGGCAACTTTCCTATAATTAAATCTACAATTGATGCGGAAATTTATGCTCGCATGGAATCCTTAAATTCCTTGAAAATACATTATCTTGATAAATCAAAAATAACTCTGAGGACTTATTGTCAGACTATCATAGTCTTTTATAATAAAATCGCGCAAAATAAACTATCTAGGAACCATCTAGGAATAGATGGTTGGCGTTTACAGTTTTTATTAACGGCTTGGGAATTATGGTTCACTTTGAGCATATCGATGGGAAAAACAATGTCCAAAACGACTTACTTTCAAGGTTAACTTTGCGTTTACAGTTTTTATTAACGGCTTGGGAATTATGGTTCACTTTGAGCATATCGATGGGAAAAACAATGTCCTAGCCGACTTACTTTCAAGGTTAACTTTCATTCTTGTTGCAGGCTTTGAAGAAAAAGTTAACTCTTCATTTTCAAATATTAAAGTATGGACGCCATATGCAATCGAGGAAAAGCTATTGCACGAGAAAAATCTAAGGAGGAATATAGTGAAGTGGCATCAAATGATTATCAGTGGATGCGAAAAGGAACAAGCGATAGAAGACATTGGATTTCCAACCAAAGGATGTCAGTGACCTCCATTGGGAACTATTGTGGGATACATTCGTCCCATCTCAAGCGACGCTCATGATAAATTGCGAGGAACCGCTAGATGAATGGAATCGAAACAAGCACAACGAGTTCTCGAGGAACTCAGAATTCTCCAATGTATATATAAAAATAAAACAAAATATTGCCACGCAAAGGCAACAAAGCACAACGCATGGGGAAACATCGTACCAACAGTACGAGCAATGGAGAAGAGCCTCGGAAGCCTAATTGGTGTGGTGATGGAAGTTACCGGAAAAGGATTAGAAAATAGTGTTTAATGTATGTATTTGTATTGTATTCGGAGTCTGTATTTTGGAATATTTACTTTTCTGAGTGGAGCATATGGTGGGCCCTACCCACTATCGTCTGTAATAATACTGTGAGCTGGAAAGAATCTTTCTTTCCACTAGTGGTCTGAATAATTGTCCAGAAAGCATTTGCTTTCCATAGTAGCCGGTTAGTGGCTGCATTATTGGTTTGGTGCGTTGGAAAGCATCTACTTTCCAACGTGGTTTGCATTATTGAGTCAGTGGGCTACTTTACGCCCATAGTTTTTGTTATTTGGTGAGCTGAAACCGCGTGGTTTTCTCCCACCTCATATCTATAAATAGAGGGTTTGTATTGAGTTGCAGACAGTCTGGTCGAGCACCAAGTGTCTACTTCTCTTATCTTTGTAAATTCTTAAGTTTTAATAATAATATTTCAAGTCTTTCTTCATTCTTCAAGTTTTATTTGTTATCTTTTTATGATAAAATTTCTTTGTGATCCCCAACCGGCGATCTTTCCATACTTCTGCCCCCTTTTGTTATCCTACTATAGAAGATCAGCTCGCTGATGTTGAATACCCATGTCTCAGAAAAATGACATCAAAGCCAGACAGCCTTTATGCATCAGTTTCATCTTTCTACTTACCTCCAAATGAACCAGTAGTGGTTGGTGGGTACATAACGAGACCCATTATTGGTTCATTTGGAGGTAAGTAGGAAGATGAAACTGATGCATAAAGGTTGTATGCCTTAGATGTCATTTTTTTGAGACGTGGGTATTCAAGATCAGCGAGCTGGTCTTCTATAGTAGGACAATAGGCCTGTGGAGATTCAGGCTCTGGCTCAAGGGATAAAATAGAATTTATAGAATTTTTAGGTGGAGTGGAAATTTCTGAAGATAAAGTGGGGTAAACAAAAGCTGGATTGTAAAAAGAATGAAAAGTAGAAGGGTCATTCCCACCACCTTCCGGGAATGAATTTGATTCATTATTTAAATAATTCATATAAAGAAATAAAGAAAAGGATGAGTCATCATCCTCGTTCTTGCTTTCATCTTTTTCAGATGATTTGTCTGAAACAAGACCATCTTCATTGTTTTACAGCACACTTTTCTTGTTCTTCGGCGAGTTTTACAACACATCACCAACCAAGATGCTCTTTCATCATGAACCAGTACTCTTCAGTGGGTCCATTTTCTAGAGCGTTTCATATATGTAACAAAGTATTTTCTTCTTCACCTTCAGAAATCGAGCACATAGTGTTTGATGATTCTTCGTCAATATCTACGGAAATGATGTCATAATCATCAGGGAGTTCAAGGTTCTTCAATATGGCGGCTCTGGTCATATTTCCTTGCTTGCTACGACACTCTCTAGCAAAGTGTCCTTCATTCGCACATATGTAACATCTGCACTTAGATGTCTTTAGCTGATTTTTATTTTTAATTACACGAATGTGAGATTCATACGGCTTGCCCTTCTAGTTTCTTGATTTACGTAGCCCATACTTCTTGTATTGATTATAGTAACCCGGTACTGAAATCTTCTTGCAAATCGAGAGATCCTTTATCCCTCGTTGTACCGCAGCTCTTTTGCATAAATCGGCCAAGTATTGATACGTAAATCGTATTCTTGGCAATACACCAACCGTATTGCCCGGGTATTTCTTCTTGAAAGCCTCTTCAATTTCATTGTCGATTATGGGAGGCATCTTACGGAAGAACTTTTCAGAGAGCTCAGAATTAATATACATTCGTCCTGACTTCCCAGCCAAGATTTTGTAGCCGTTCATATATTTAAACATGTTCTTTATCTCTGAACATGTTAGTCTCTCCAAATCCAGATACGCCCTGTTTTGCTCTTTAGTGGATCCTTGATAAGGATCCTCCAACAGTATTATTCTACTTATCTGAGAAAGAACATTCTGCGGGTCATCTGCAATATTAATTAGAGCTTCGTACTCCTCGTACATCATTCTCTACTGTATCCAGATCTTTTTCGCAACTTCGCCAAGCAAATTTTTGATGAATAAAACTTTTGTTTTGTTGTCGGCGAACTGTTTATCATTGACAAGATTCAGGGTAATCGACTCCCATCTTGAAATAACATCATAAAGCGAGAAATCATCTGAGAGAATTAATAATACACTCTGAGTGCTCTGCGCAAATGACAGAGTCCACATGTTCTGCTGATAAGTCTTCTTGAAATCAGAAGACTTTGCTCTGAGATTTTCGAATGAATTTGATGAGGAAGAAGGATCAACCTGTACTCTGAAAAGTTAATTAAAAAAAAATATATATATATATATATATATATTCTATCAAAAGTATTGATCTTACACAAGCCATGGCTAGGACAGTTATCTACTGGCTTATTAATGGCGTTCCTTCACCAAATTTCATTACTATTTTTGACGCACAAAGTGTCACCCCATGTTATTTATGATCACTCTATAGTGATGTTTTACAATGTTTCAACCTCTGATTAGTCTATAGATTCTATCAAAAGGTCTCCAAATTTAGCAGATGAAAGATTTTAGATTGTGTTTACCAAAACTATTTCTTCACACCCATTGTATACCAATTTTCAAGCCAGATGTACTAATTCATTTGATTTCAATGTTCATGAATTAGCAAAAGCTAGTTTTATCTAATTGAGTACTTGTTATTCATCATTTGGATGAATATTAATTTATCACATTCCAACTTATCGTGTTACAATATGTTCCATTTCTTTACCTTTCTGAGACTACTATTTTATATTGTTATATTTTCACCAATGGTAATCCAAACCTGTTCTTTAAGAAGAAAGCAAAATTAAAAAAAAGGAAAAACTCATTTTACAATTATCATAGCTTAACAGATTAGACAAACATATAGAAAACTACTCTTCGCGCAAAAAAAAAAAAAGATTTTATTTACAGGTTTCGGGCATAGTCAGGAAGAATGATCAACATCTAGTTGAAAATAAATATCAAAATAGCAATCAAATTTTTGAAGAAGGGTTAGTGAAATTTAATATCTTATTTGAGGATCGAGATGACTAAGATATGTCCGCTGGATGATCACTGATGCTTATTACGTCGTTTAAATGATCCATAAAATATAGCACATTACCTGCTTCAACTTGTCCTGCTCCACTGCCTCAATTCTAAAGGTCATAATTGTATATTCTGACGGAATGCCCGACTCTATGCTTAATTTAGCAACCTGAAAATTTTAAAATTGAAAATTTAAAAAATAATCATAAAAACATAACGGGAAGATTTCTACAAATCAACTAAAATGTATAAGAGTTTCATTAGAAAGACGCATAAAAAAGTATTATTACATGCTGCAAATTCAGAAAGTAGAAAGTTTCAAGGTCACTGGGAAGCTCACGGGTGGACAAGTAACGAAAGAAAGTTAATTATTCTAGATGATTATTGCAAGAAAATAAAACAGACCTGATATGGATCTCAGAAAAGTTCAATGGAGCAATTATAGAAAATGACATTAAATTAAACATAAATATTGACAATAGTCATTGTCAAACAATAAGTCCCAAGCAACATCAAAAGTTTCTTCCCGGTGGGAAAGCCTAATTACAGGTAAAAAGAAGCAAACAAGAATTCATTTCTCAAAATCCAACCCTTCTAGCCACGTGGATTGGTTTTTTATAAGAAAGCAGTTGAATCTTCGAGGACAGAAAAGAATATGAATAAAACAGCAGCAGCTATTTTAGTAACATGTTCCAGCAGAAGATGAGTGTGATATCTAAGACCCCATATCTCCTGTATTGACAGAGTTTTCAGAGTAACAAACCTGTTGAATCTTTGAGTAAGAAAATGAATCCGAACAAAACGGTAGCAGTTTGCTAGTGTATTGATAAGTTCCTTGAGAAGACTAGAAGTAGGATACGAATCCTGTGCGTTCCGGGAATTTTGAAAGAAGAAACAAACCAGTTTTCCTGAGAAACTGAATAAAGCAGAACAAATAATGCCTACACATTGTTGCCAAGGAAAAAAAATATATCAAAGGATCAACCCATTACAATTTTGAAAGGTATTACTTGTATATCTAAAAAAAAAACCTTGCCAGAGCTTAAAGTATAGGATAAAGTCAAACACGTGACCTGGTCAAAATATTCCTAACATATTAAGAAGAAGTGCAAGACAGCAGTTGAATTCTATCACTTCAGCAAGCCAACCCAGCGAACTCACCCAGCCTCAACTGACTCATGTAGATAACATGGCGTATGTTAGTTCAAGTCAACTTACTTGACCCGAACAGTTCGCCCATTCAGTTCGACAGACCAATTCAGCAATCTAATTGGGTAAGTTAGGGCACCTTTATCAATTCTCCTTACAATCAGATGCCGCTACACTATTTAAAATGCGGTATACCCTTTACTACATCATTGTTAATATTTTAATAAGTTTTCTCTGTTTTATGTAATCATTTATGTAAGCACCCATTGAGACCTACCTAAACTTGTAAATAAAATGGCCAAGCAAGGGGTAAAGGATCTTTTTTGAAGGCTCGATCAGAGAACTAAACTTTCCTGATCCATCTCTTTAGTCAAGAGAGATTTTTTTCCTTTATTTTCTTATTTTCTTATTTTATATATTCCAACTCTTCTCTTTTACAAACCCTTACCAAAGTGGCATGAGATCACTGAAAATCATAATCCAACATCCTTAAAGTTGTACTAAGTGTGTCACAACCCGGGCCGGTACTTGGAATTAACCAAGAAGGGGATGAACAGTCGAAGTGTGGAAATCAATTCACAGCTATTCTACTTATATCACTAACAGTTAATATTCAAAAAATTCACAAAAAAGCAAAAAAAAAAAAACAATTAAATTAACAAAAAAAATTGTATATTTTCAATTGTTGATCTCGCCTTTTATACACATTTGTTTCTCTTCTATTCATCTTGCTCAAAAGCTAAGAATCTAAAAAAAATATTTAACAACAACAACAACAAGAGTAAAGCCTTAATCCCACTACGTGGGGTCGGCTACATGAATCCTTTTTCTCCATTGTGTCCTATTTAGTGTCATATTTTCATTTAGTTCTAATAAATTAAGATCATTTTTTATACAATAGCCCAAGTCTTCCTAGGTCTACCTCTGACTTTCTTAACATAAGTCGAATCTAAAACATCTACTCTCCTAATCGGATCATCA